TGTGTCCCCACTTCGAAGAGTTAAGCGTTTTGGAGTTAAGGGAAAGTTAGCACCACGTTTTGTGGGACCATACAAAGTTTTGGAATGTATGGGAGAAGTTGCTTACAAGCTGGTATTGCCAGAAGGATTGTCAGGAGTTCACGATGTGTTTCACGTTTCCCAATTGAAGAAGTGCCACGCAGAGATGTCGATATTCCTCTGAGAGATACAATGTCACTCGAAGCGATTCAGTCGGACAGTGATTTGACCTACGAGGAGAAACCAGTGAAGATTCTCGAGTATGCCAGCTGAGTCACACGCAGCAAGGTTATCAAGTTTTGCAAAGTTCAATGGGGCCACCGAGGAGGAAGCCACATGGGAACGAGAGGAAGACCTATGGAAGGACCACCTGCACCTATTTTCTATCCAACCCGAATCTCGAGGGCGAGATTCATCTTAAGGGGGGTAGGTTTGTAACATTCCAAATTTCCAATTTGGAATGTTATACATAGATCATCATTGCATATCATATTTTATTGTATTTTGGTTGATCCTGGAAATTCTAAGCAACTCAAGGACCCACGGAGAGAGTTGGGGATTTCGTTATTTTCATATTTGAATTTTCTCAAATATTGAAAAGAGGATCATTTTGGTTTTAATCTTTTTGTCTCCGAATATTTCCAATGTCAAAATAAAAGAGAGGGGATAAAATGACTTCTCCAAAATAAAAGAAATATTGGAGGAAATATGTTATAATCAAATAAGTATTTTTATTGGGATTTTATTGCTATTTTATTTGAATTAGAAAAATTGCATGTTTTTCAAAATTGTATTTTCAGGCCAGAAAAATATTCACCTTGTTCTAAATATTTCATTTAGACGGTAAAAATTTGTTTTGGCATTTTTAGGATTTTTTAATATTTTTTAGGATTTTTTCTATTTGGCCGAATTATTTTAAAAAAAGTTCTTCGCACCAACTGGGCCGAAGCACAGCCGGCCCAGTTCGCGTCGTCCCCGACCCCGAGCCGGCCTCCCGCTCGCGCACGCCGCCGCCCGTCGCCGCCTCGGACTCCCGCCGCCGCCAACCCCTCCCCCAGGCCACCCCGCCCCATCTTCTCCCTTAAATAGCACCGCCGCCGCCCCCACATCGCCACCCCGCCCCG